AATGGAGATCTTGGCCACGACCTCAATGAAACAGTTAGTTGAGCTTTGTTGTTTCCAAATTTTGTTTGCTTGACGCATATGGATAAGAGCATAATTGTCTGCGTTCTGATTCTTCAGGGTTCTTCTCGTTCCTTGAATGTACCAGTCCGTGAAGTTCTTTCAGATAAGAGGCAAGAAGAGATTCCATTTGTAAGCATTTTTGCGCTGGTCATGTTGATTTTCTAATCTACTGAAGATTTTTTTTTTTTTTTTTACAAATCTGCATAAGCAGAAGGCAGGGGTCAATATGAGATACATTCAGGAGTCCACATAACTTCCATCGGCTCCTGCCATGGAGGTTTAGATGGAGGCATTATAAACCAAAAATAAAGGGCTAATTGAGTTGAAATTCTTGTAGAATGTGATTTTATTTTATATTATGAATTAATTTCCTTTTAATCTAGGATTGAAATGAAACTCATTTGATTGACAAAGTTATTTTGCTTACTTTTGATTTTTGTTTAGTTAATTAGAATTAGTTATTCTATTAGATTAAATTAGACGCAATTTCTGTAAGAACGACACTCAATTCATTACTTTATTATTTATTATGATTCCGTACTATTGCAGATTCTTACAAACAATTTGCTTATAAACTGCAGTCTCTTACATATACCACAAAAGAAATCTATCTATTATTTGTTCTTCTGAAAATGTCGATAAAAACCAAACAAATTTTCGAATACTTGGCATTGGAAGGGGGGTTGGGAGAGCTTTGAGTGGGAGGTTGGGGTTCAATCCCACTTGTAATTCTTAGGATGACACATGTTTTTAATTTATTTTTAATTTTTTTTAAGTTAGAGAGAGAGAAAGGGGGAGGAAAATAATTGAAATAACTTATTTAGATGCAATTATAAAAAAAAAAAATAGATGCACAAGTAATTAGATGTACATGATGATTGTAGAATGAACAGAAAGCAAAATAGAGGAAATCCTTTTACCTGATATTCTCTTCCTATTTGCCAACCAATATGCAATGAAGACCAAGAGAAAAAAGAGTACAATAGAACAGTGCAAAATTGCTAGCTTCCCCGTTTTGTTGATAGAGCAATTCGACTTCTTCGCGTATTGAGCTATAGTATTCTTCCTACAGACTGAAACTATGAAGTTCCATGTATTCTAAAAAAATGAATCAATCGACAATCAGTGAAGTCGTTCCAATTTGGGGATTTAATTTGGTATAAATAGTCAAAAATAAAGTTGGGAGTGTCATATTTGTACACATGAATAGGGACCTTATATTTACTGTTCTAAACATTTTATCCCATTATTTTTATCGCCAGACCACCAAATCAATTTTAGTTCCTTTAACTGTTAAAGTTTTGAAATCACTGTTTAATTCCAGCCTAAACGTTCTTTGTTTTCTATGGATCATATTATTTGGTTACTTATAAGTTATCCTTTTGCTTGAAATAGATTATAGAGTCTATGCTTGGTAAAGTCGTGGAGGAATTTGAGCATCGCATGGCAAGCCAAAACGAACTGGTAAGCAGCTGTCTTTCTTTAATGTTAGTTTCCATTTCAAATTAAATCCAATTTGCTGAAAAATTTTTGCTTTCGCCACTTTTGAGCATGGCTGAACTTGAAAACTAAGTTCTGCATCTCCTACGAATAAATGCATGCATGTCTAATTGTCTCGTCCAGAAGAGTCACTTGTTTGTTAGATTGTAACTCTACTAAACCTTTTTGCTAATGATGTGTTTTCCTTTTGTAAACTGACAGATGAAAACAATTCCAAGAGAGCAGGCGTTATCTAGTGCTGACAAGACTCTTTCAAAATCTGCCTGTGAAGACATAGAGGTACAAGAACAGATTCACGCTAAATGATGCAAAAGGCTATAACAATTGTGGTCTTTTTAGTTGCGGCTTAATAAACTTTTTGCTTGCAAGTCGGTACTGCTTATAAATCTTTGATCGTCCACATTCTGATGATATGTTCTTTTCGTCTATGAATGATTAAGATGGAAGCAAAAGACGCTAGCCTAGAAAAGGAAGAATGTATTCAGATGCATAAAGATGAAGAAGGTTCGAAAGGCCAGTTTTGGAAGCAGCATATGCTAGTTGAACAACAACAGAGAGATATTCAGGTAATCTACAATTGCACTGCACAAGTGTTCGGAATTATTTTCTTTCTGCCAGAGAGACTTATATTTCAATTCCCGTGAATGATCTGTAGGATTTGAAACATATTCTTCATAATACGAAAGCCGGAATGCAATTTTTACAAGTGAAGTACCAGGAGGAGTTCGACAATTTAGGTACTGCATAAACTAAAAGTTTGTAATGTTTTGCCGAGTTATTCTAAAGAGGGGAATTGTCCATCTCATGCTAGTTCTTTCCTTGATAGGTAAGCACTTGCATAGTCTTGCTTATGCTGCTTCAGGTTACCAAAGAGTTCTTGAAGAAAATCGCAAGTTATATAACCAAGTACAGGACCTAAGAGGTAAATCATAGAGTTTTTTTTCTTAAATTTCAGTTTCTTATATACACTGATATAAGCTTTCCATGAAGATTAATAACTTTTAACTGTGTTTTACCAGGAAATATTAGAGTTTACTGCAGAGTGAGGCCCTTCTTGGCTGAACAACCTAATCGTTTGAGTACTGTTGAACACATAGATGAAGGAAATATTACAATTATCACTCCTGCAAAATATTGCAAAGAGGGACACAAATCTTTCACTTTCAACAAATTATTTGGTCCTTCTGCAACCCAAGGTAAGGTTTGCAACTTAGAAAGTGGTGATTCAGGATTTATTCAGTATTTTCATATTTGTGACATCTATTCAATATTGTTTCTTTTTTGCCCCATAGACGAGGTATTTGCAGACACCCGGCCTCTGATTCGGTCAGTTCTCGATGGTTACAATGTATGTATATTTGCTTACGGCCAAACAGGATCAGGGAAAACTTTTACTATGGTAAGAAAGAGATATGCACGTTTAGTTGCTCTCTCAATACCTTGTCCACTCCAATATGTATTGCAAAGTAGACTTTGGGCTATTTACTTAAAGCTTTGTGGATTCATCTTGTTGCGAATTTAGACTGGACCAAGAGAGCTCACAGAGGAAAGCCAAGGTGTCAACTACAGGGCTTTGCATGACCTATTTCTTCTCTCAGAACAGAGGAAAGATACTTTTTTCTATGAAATTTCTGTTCAGATGCTTGAAATCTACAATGAGCAAGTCCGTGATCTCCTTGCAATCGATGGTGCTAACAGAAGATATCCTTTACATGCCAAATTATTTTGCTGTATCTTTATGTACAATTTAACACCTCGCATATTTCTCTGTGTCCTTAACTCCAAAATACGTTAGAAATCCGTAATAGTTCTCAAAATGGAATCAATGTACCTGAGGCGAATATTATATCTGTCTCATCAACATCTGATGTCTTGTATTTGATGAATCTTGGGCAAAAGAATCGTGCAGTTGGTGCCACGGCCATGAATGATCGGAGTAGCCGTTCCCATAGGTATCAACTAAAAAATCAGACTAGAACTTCTGTGGCATTTTACGTTATGATCACACTAAAAATTAGCGTTCTATTTAATGCTTTATTTAGTATTAACATCTTTAAGTTACTTATTTGCAGTTGCTTGACCGTTCACGTTCAAGGAAAGGACCTAACATCTGGAACCATACTTCGTGGTTGCATGCATCTGGTTGACCTGGCTGGAAGTGAAAGGGTTGACAAATCAGAGGCGACTGGAGACAGATTAAAGGAGGCCCAACACATCAATAAATCTCTCTCTGCCTTAGGGGATGTGATTGCTTCTCTTGCTCAAAAGAATTCACATGTTCCTTACAGAAATAGTAAACTTACACAACTGCTCCAAGATTCACTTGGTAAGAATGTACATTCTTGAGCTGACAAGTCTTTCAAACCGTATTTTCTAAGCTGATCTCCTATGAGATTTATGTTATTGATTCTTCAATCTTTCAGGAGGACAAGCAAAGACCCTCATGTTTGTTCACATTAGCCCAGAGGTTGAAGCTACTGGAGAAACAATTAGCACACTGAAGTTTGCTGAACGGGTTTCAACCGTTGAGCTTGGTGCTGCTCGAGCTAACAAAGATAGCGCAGATGCGAAAGAACTTAAAGACCAGGTCTTTTGCGTTTTCTTTTTTTTTTTTTTTTTGCCCTGAAGACCAGGTTTTTAGCTTGATTTCACCTTTTTATCTTCAACAATGCTTTCCATTCGTGTGTTTATAATTTCATTTTTGTACTTTTATTTTCATAGATTGCCAGTCTTAAGGCAGCTTTGGTGAGGAAGGAAGGAGAAAGAGAGCATCTTCATCATTCTCGGTCTTCCAGCCCAGAGAGATTTAAAATGAAATCCGCCGGGTCTTCCCCTTCACACCCTCGTTGGAGAAGTCTGAAAGATTTATCAGGAGGGCGGAGGCAACCAATGGATGATGTTGGTAACATCGAGGTATGAACCAAATGCCATAACTGGCGTACCAAGTTAGAACAACAATTTAATTCACACTAGATTTTCAACTTGCCCAATTACAATTTTTTTTTTTTTTTTTTTTTTTTTTTTTTTTTTTTTTGATATCTGGACAAACCAATGTTTCAAATAGTTTTCTGTTGGTTGGTTAAATTTACCAACACAGAAACTAATATACAAGTTTGACTTCAAGTATATGTCTAATATTTGTAGGCTCAGAACTCTGCATTAAAACTAAAAAGAAGAAGTTTGGATCCACAAGACATGTTAATGCATTCATCTTCGTGGCCATCTGCTGAGAGCACTCCCGACCCAAATGGAAAGGAAGATGACAAGGAATCAGTTTCCAGTGATTGGGTTGACAAGATTATGGTAAACAAGCATGACAACATAATAAGTAGAGAGGAGAATCTGGTGGAATGTTGGGATGTAGACAGCTCGCAGTTGTCCGAGATGTTCGGTCAGAGTTACCTTCCCGACCCTTCAAAGATATACACGGAGAACCAGCTCACTAAGCTTAACGGCAACAAAAAGGACAGCCAAGACTATGACTTGCAGAGGAGTAACAGGTATGAGATGGCCACCACTGATGACTCTGATGATCAGCTGGAGGCTGCAACCAGTGATTCTTCAGAGCCAGACATGCTTTGGCAGTTAAATCCTCCTAAGGCCACCAACATTCCCAATGGCTTAGGGGGACCACAAACAAGGAAAACCCATCCGAAGCCAGCAAGGAGTTCAGAAACCAGGTAAATTTCTATTGTATTCTACAAAAATTTGAAAAAGAAAAAATTAGACATTAGTTCCATGTTACTAAGAAAAGCACTCTCATGGCAGCATGATCACTTCAATCAATGTTATGTCTCGCCAACTAATCATAGATTCACATGTCAACTCTGTGTTCCATGGATTGTGATATAAGGTTTCACACGCTTTGTTTGTGATAATTTTTAACCGGTAATTCACCTATTTTGTGCTTCACACTCGTCCATTTTGCATCCACATTGGTTTCTTTGGGGTCTAGCTTTCTTTTTCACTGGCAAAACTGTTAACATTTTTCTTCTATCAAATCCTCTAGTTAAAAGCACTCATGCTTTTCTTGTTGTTTGTCTTCTAACTAGGAGTTTGATTCCATCACTAATCCCTTCTCCATCGCTTTCGCGGAAGGCGCCCAATGGGGTCAGTCAACTCATTCAACCATCGTACAGGCCTGTAAGGCAGGCAGTTCTTGGCCAAGGGAAGAAAAGAACTACAAAGTGAACACACACACACACACATATATATATATATATATGTATACTGTTTATAAGGTGTTGGAGAAGTTTCTTTATGGTTCTTTTACAATTTCTATATACATATTTTTTTCGTGTATTTATTATCCGGTTAGTTAGAGAAAGAGAGAGTGAAAAGTATAGTTATTCATTTGTGTTTTTTTTT